TTTTCCTCTCTAGGCATATATACTAAAAAAGAGGGCACCTCGAACAAACTCAGGCTTCCCCGATAATTCATGATCCTTCCAAACTTGAAGATGTGAGGTAATAAATAGTAGTATGGTATGCGGGAAGAAAATGCATTTTCTATGTTCTTATTCTAATGTAGAATTTTTCACAATTCTTGTTTACTCTAGATATGTACAGTTTTCACACAGTTTGTAGTCAAGAATGTTGTTAAGTTGATTTTGTTCTAGCTATCTTTGTTCTTTGTCATTCCCTTGGAGATAACATCTGGTTTACCCATGGTAATATAGCTGTGAAGCTGCACTTTGTGTATGAAGATTAAAAGCATTGTTCGCAATTGGTAACTCAGATGATATATAGAGATTACAACCTCCCTTATTTTTGAATGTGAATGGCTAGTTACATGGGTAGCACTAGTTTTGCACTGGGTAAGTATGATATAAGAAATTCAACAACAAAATGTGAGATTTAGACAGTTTTGAATGTCATCGAGAGTGTATTCGTCAGTTTGGAATTTTGTCTTGAGGGATTAGAGCTGGCCTGATCAATTAACGACTCCAGTAATGGTGCCTGTCCAGCATCCAAATAAGTACACTCATTGTATTTGTGAAATTAATAAAGATTATTTTTATTGTGCATCACACTTTGGGTTCAATGTATTTATTTAGTATAACTGACTCAGGTTTTGCAGATTGCAGTATTAATTTAAAATTTATCTTGCCAAACCTGTTGTTAAATACAAAACCTACCAAATTTACTCTTTTGGGAATTTACCTGAAAATACTATGGAGTAGGTAGGAAGGAAGGAAATATCTTGGTGCCATGACCACAGGATGTTATTGCTGTTTTTTTCTTCTGAAATGTGTAATGCATTTGTTTCTACTCTTGTGTTATTGAGTTTAAAAATAATTCTTTCTTATGGAAATAGAATATTTCACAAGTAGAAACTTGTGATTGAAAGAAAAAGTTGGTCATTGTAGGAAAATGGTGGCCTGAGAGACATGTCAGGCTTAGGAGAAACCCTCTCCTGTTGGACTTTTGCTGGTGAAGCCAACATTATTTTAATTGTTAATCAAAATTTTTTTTTAATATATGTAATAAGGTTTAAGGCTGTCTTATGTTAATTTATCTATTTCTTTATGGTGATTTTCTTTTCCCATTTAAGGAGTTATTTAAGATTGTAAGGTCTCATGTTAACAAGATGTGACATAGTGGCCTTGTTGGAGAAATGGAATTTGATATAGTCAAGTGCAAAATGATTTTACTAAGCGTGTTTGACCTTATTCCACAAAATCAAATGAAATTCAAAGGAAGTATAATATGATAAAGAAAGCTTTTTGCAAGCTTTAAAAAAACATCATATTGTAATTGTGGCAGAAGCTGTTCATAAACTGCTTATTGTCTAGCAACATATCATCAAATTAAACTTTTATCATTTTCTTCTTGTCTACTCAAATATCTGCTGAAGTAGAAGCCATATTCGCTTGTACAGTTCTAAGGAACAGAAGAAGAACTTTCATTATGACTCCTTGAAGCAAATACTTTACAGCACAACAACTGAGAATTAGAATTAGTGGATGCCTAAAAATTGATAAACTACTTTTATATTCAAGTTAAGAGGTCAAATTAGTACTGCTTTGCCCAAAACTGTTATAACATTCCTCCTAAGGGCTACAAGTGCCATACTATGCCCACAAAAAATTGAAGAAATTGACTAACACTAATGTTTTCATTTGATGTGTGCTAACATCAATCCAAAATTTTTAACTTTTCTATGTATAAAATTAAATAAATAAATAATATTGAGTAGATTTCAACATTGAATCTATTTTTTTAATGTATATAAGAATGACTACAGGTTTATCTTCTATAATTTTTTAAATTGAGTGGTGCAGTTTTGCATTTGAGGTAGAATGCATGCATCTGGGGTATCATACAGTTAACTGAAATAAAAAATCAATGTAGTTTTTTGTTAAAAGCAGTACTTATGTCTTCATTGCCAGCAAATGCCTACTGTTTTGAAAAATGTCACACATAACAGTTGTTATCTAGTTGTTTCCATCATGTATCTGCTTCTGTGATTCAAGGGAACTACAGTGACCATTTTGTTGAAAAATATTTTTAAGTTGGTAGTATCAGTAAATGTGTATGTTTTTACTAAGCAGGATAAACTCACTGACATGTAACACTTTCCTTTGTAGATTATTTGTCTTTAACATCTGGTTTACTAAGGATAGCTCTAGACTGCTATATTACAACTCTTGATAAATGGCTTGTGTGAATACTCTTAAAATTATGTAAAATAGATGTTCATTATTGTTCATTTTTATAATGTAAAATTGTTGTATTTGTATACTTTGTGATGGCTTAGTCCATGAGTTAAAACATTTTATTCACTGCTCAGAGCAGCAGTGTGATGTATGATCACACAAGAAAAAAAAAAACTTCCTATTGGCCCACCACTTTCTACACCAAAACTGAACAAACCATAGAAAGCATAAGTAGAGAAGGACCTGCTCTTTATGTTGATATTACACCTATCCATCAGTCATGTAAGGTTGATTAGTAAAACAATCTTGAAATTGAGAGAGATGAGAAGGGCTTCTGTGTAGTAGGTTTCACAAGCTTATTGATACTTCAGAAAATCAAGAAGGTTAGAGGTAAAAATTGTAAATTCTCATATGCAATTAAATATAATTTTTGTTTCCAATGATTTGGAAACTGCAGCAACCTGTTTTTTAAGTTAGAAAATTCTTAAGTTGAGAAATTGGAGTTCAAATGTATAATGAAAATGAAGGTTGAGAATTAATTATTTAAATATTTTTATTTTGAAAAATTAAAACTATATATTTGAGAGATTTTAATTATAAAGTACATTTTTATGTCAAATTTATTGACATGCATTGATAATAAAGTTGTTTAATTAAAATTTGAATGTAACATTCTAAAGGTCATGACATGAACTAAAGGGTCATATGTACACTTTGGGTTAATTGAAAAATAAAATCCTGAACAGTAAGTCAAACTTAACTTTAGGATTTCAGCTGTGTGTAGCTTTACAGTGTATAATCATCTATGAAATAAAATGCCACTTTGACTGTTCATCAGGATTTTTGTCACAGTTCAGAGCTATAAATATGTATTTCAGCTTCATATAAGTTATTATTTTTTTCAAGTAATGACATAATTTTGCAACTCTGAATATTTTCCTTATAGAACTAAAGTCATTGACAAGGTTTTTGTCATCATCAGACAAAACCTTGTTGAAACATTGTACATTTGCTGTTATGTTAAACTTATATTAAAGTTTTTCTTCATTACCAATTCAAGCCATCTCCAACCATTATTAGTCTCAAAGTGGGTTCCGCGTCATCGAATTAGAACTAAAGTCAGTTAAACTTGATATATTTTTATGACATTTTCTTCAGTCTTGCTCTTTGATCTGATTTTACTTGCCCATATCATGTCAACTGTTAATTTGTTTCTAAAGTTTTAGTACAAAATTTGTAACAGTGGTGTTAATGTAATTTATGGTTTTTGTTTACTATAGCATGTACTCAGTTTTTTATTCAAAGCAATAGAATTTTGTGTTTTTTACAGATAATAGAAATATTTATATTATCAAAACATTTTTCTGCAGTACAGAAGTTTTAATAGCCTTTTTTATAGTGTATGATGTCTCCAATTTGACAATTATTATAGTATTAGTGACAAAATTATTATGCTTCTTCAAATATATAATCTGAGAAGGAATCAGTTGTTTTGTTTTATTCAAATTTTAAAAGTTCTTTTAACTGAAGAAGGATTTCTTACTTGAAACATCTTACATTTGAAATTATATTTTAAGTTTAAAGATATTACTATGATATTAATGTGATCTTATTCTTCATAAAAAGTCTTTGCTTAGTATAAATTTGACTAATATCTAGACTAATTATTTATAAATGTGTTGCAGGTGTTGTCATCTATACAGGTGCAGAAACAAAGTTGATGATGGTGAGACTTGTATTTTTAAATATTTCACATTCAGTATAGAATTGTATAAATGTATCATAGAATAGAGTAAGTTGAAGATTTTAGTTTTTAAAGAGACCTTGGATTACACTGACTTATCATTAGACAATGTATACAGTTCAAAATTAAGCTTTTCCTTACATGGATGGCCTTTTACATGATGTACTTTTGATTGTTTATAAGAAGGGCTGTTTCCACTTCTAAAATATTGATCACTATTTTCCTGATAGGATTTGTTAATCTTTCTCTCTTTAATTATTTTTTTCAATTGCATATTGTTCATACATTTTAATCTTTTCCAAGAATATTTCCTCATCCATCAAAATTATTTTTGATGCAGTTTCACATTCAAAACACAGTTCATGCCGTGTATAATTTAACCAGAACCAATTCATTTTGTTCACTTTTTATTAAATAGGAAGATTTGAACTCCTCTCTTGCACTACACAGCCTCCTTTAACCCTTTCTAGAATTGTGGGAGTGTCTCTGATAATGCTTGATTTTTTTTCTTTCTCACAGTGGAAATACTTAACTAAATTGTATGAAACTAAGGACAAACTGAGTAATGGTATCTAGTTTTGACTTTAAAAAAATCATATAATTTGCTTTGTTTTATGTTGTGAAATTTTCAAAAGTTTGTTCTGATATTTTAAAAAAAAACACATTAAAAATACTTTCTTTTGTCAATGAAATTTAATTTTTTTTGTTGATCAGAAAGTTCCATTTTATGCATCCAGTCAATTTCAAGTTAATGACTTTTATTAATTTATTTCTTTTAAAACTTTATTTTGCTGATTACAATGGTAACCACTTCTGACTATAAATCATAAAAAAATAGCATAAACTGACGAAGGTTATTGTTGACTTACTGTCTGATCTTACAAAATGATGTCAAGTTAGGTTACAGAACAGTATTTTTGCTAACAGTATTCTTGGCCAAAATCAAGTTATATCTAGCTTAGAAGAATCTGGTTGGAACATATGTACAGCTATTAACTCTCTCGACACAGGGTCAGTCAATGTGACTGAGTCACATGACCTTTTGTACTCATTTAAAGTCTTTATAGATTAATACTTATAATTCTCAATATATTTGGTATATTTTCACGAAATTTGGCAGTCTTTCAGTTAATATTACAAGTTTTTCACATAC